AAGTAGGGCGCTTGGGCTGTAGCATCTTCGCCGAAGGGCTGAAAAGAAAGTTCTGGATATTTCTACATTACGAACACAAGATATTGAAGATCGGAAAGTGCCTCAATCTGATGAGCATGTTGCGGCCATTGAATCTCAAACTTGGACATCGCATCACAATATTCTGCCTGCCGGGTGCCTGGACGCGCTTATCAGCTTGTACAGGGACTCTGGGGAAGAGGAGAATCTTCCTGATGTTCCAACGGCACCGATTGCTCGAGGAGGTGACAGACATTTTCCCCTGGATATAAATGCGGTGTTAAAGGCGCCTACATCGATAGGGTTTTCAACTGTCGCTGGGAAGAAGAGGCGAGCAAGCGAAAGTTTCATGGACGATTCTACTACTAAGCGTGTCCGTGAGACCAATTACAACTTCTCATAGTTCCTTATCTCATATGAGATAGGAGCTCAATCTACGTAAGATGAAAACGCGGGGTAGAGGCACGTCGTCAGGCAGTTCCGGTTAGGTCAATACTTGTGGAGTACATATCGACTTTGCGCCCTAATCCACTCTTCCTTCGTTTGCTTTTCTAAGACACACCGTTGGCCCATAAGAGTACTTTCACAGAAGAACTTCAGTCCTTGTGTATGAATCCTCCCCTATGGTTTCCACGTGACCGTCTCTAGGTCTTTTGCTTGCCACTTGACTGACATGATTCTTCACGCCCTTCAGAAAATAATTTCTTTTTCAAGGATAGATACCTGGTCAGCAAAATTAACTGTTAAAGTCAAGTATGATGTATTGAATCATGTTGATTACCTAGGATAATACCATATACAGTCTATATTTCCGCGTATAAACTCATCAGTTTGTTCGTAACGCCAACGGCTCAATGCATACATGCAGATCTCGGTTGATGAGCTGGAAAAAGCAGAGAATGCCTTTCAAACTGAGATGTATTCGAGCTCAGGCTACGATACTCTGCTTGAGCGCAAGTACAGTAGATCCCGCATGAATGTGCGAGCTCAGGGTGACTAGACATGGAAGCATTGACTGGGTCATACATCACCTGTTGTCTCACTGTGAACATTGATCTTTACAAGTCCCAAATTTTTGAGTAACTTTCCGTGCTTCTCGTCCACTCCTCCAGGTCTTTTATCGTACCAGCGATTTTGCGACCCCCTCGGCTGTACCTGACACAATCTGCGTGCTTGCATGTCGTACGACCTATTTGATAGTTATAAATAACTCTTTTCATGTTCAGACATTCAAGCAACAGCGTCATGCAAAATATGTTCCGTTCCGATATTTTTCTTTGGGCGTGCAGGCGTCCATACAACTCAGAGTTTCACAGGGGGTCATAATCACCATATGAATGCTGGAACTGGATGACAATCATCATACTAATGTGCGTCCATTTACAAAAAATGGAAATCTGTGCCTAGCAGGTAGATATGTGCTCTACAGACCAGTGGATGGCTTTAGGGCCAACTTCTCCTCTTAATTGTTGGTCACTCTCGAAAAATTACTGTTACTCGGAGTGCCACAACGTTAGTCGCAGCAAAAGAGAATGCCATGTCGTGTGGTTGTGTTAGTCACAGCAAAAGAGAATGCCATGTCGTGTGGTTGTGTTAGTCACAGCAAAAGAGAATGCCATGTCGTGTGGTTGTTTGACAGCCAGGTTGCAAGGGCGCCCGTCGCTCGAATGACATGCTCTTTGCTTGATTATGTGTACTGATATGTAGGGTGGTGTGAAGGCGTGAAGGTAGACTGCTCCGTCCCTCTCCATTGTCCCGAATTTGATTGTGGAACAGGATTTGTGCTGCTCTATCGATCAAGGATGATTAGTTTATAACATACTCTTCGGCAATATGTCAAAAGTATTAGCTGCCAAGCGAAGGTGATTCAGAGTCGTGGTGGTGTGTCATACTTTGGCCTACTCTAGTGACGCACAATAGGAGCAAAATGTCAAGGAGAGTCACTGGACCTCGTCCAAATTGGTGGAAGAGTAGCATGCCCCAAAGTCTGCGAGCAGTCATCGTCAAACATATAGACTTGTTGTTGCAAAAATAGTCATATGACCGTATCCCAAAAAGAGACCTTTTTTGACTGGCATGATGTGAATAGTATAACTCTGAAATGTTCAGTACGGGACATTTGTGTCGCAACTTTGTCATGCATCCAAGTCACAAGGCACCATTAAAGAAGTATAGAGGCTAGTTTGTGTGTTGCAGGCTTCTGGACGAAGTCGATATATTTTGAGAGAAGGTAAGATCAGTCATGCTGATTCTTCAGAATACAAAGAATTGACCTGGGCGGGATCCAGTGCCACTGACGGCGATTTGGACAGAATAGCTTGAGCAACATTCGAAGCCACCGTGGTTGTCCGCTCCCTTGTTGCATACGCCAGGTAGGAAATCCAAACTGTTCATGAGATACCTGACTGCGGCGTAGAGTCCTTTTATGATTGAAACTAGGTATGGTTACGCTATTTGTAGGTCGAGCGTATGGTTGTGATTGCATCGTTACTGTCCTTGTAGGCCAGATTATTGAGCACTGAACAGTCTTTTGTAAGTGATGCACAGAAAAGATGGATACCATCAATCAGTACTAATTGCAAATGCACCATGATGCTCGCAAGAGTGACATTCTTGGTACGCACTCGCGCAATTCACGTGACATGGCACCTCACCTGTCGGTCCCGTAGGCTCAATCTCTCCGAGGTCTAGCCGCCCTTGGTACTGGTATTATGCTTAGTCTAGGTATGTAACCATCAGAAAACGTATCACTAATCTCTTCAGTGCATAAATCCCAAGCAGCAGTTTTTCCTCCACATTGCGTGGATGAATCAGCAAGATGCATGTAGCGTGGTGCCTCGCCTGTGCTCTCTATTCAGTCCACACAATCTTATTGACATGGCTCGCTTGAAGGAACGCTCGCTCTCTGTACCTAACTCAGCTACCTAAGATCAGCGCCCAGCCTTCCCGTCAACAGAGCTGACATGATAAGCTTTGGTAGCGCAAGGTTACCGGAAGGGTAGAGGCAAGGACATGTGCCCTCATCGGAAGCTTCACCCGATGCGAGTCCGGAGCTGTTCTTTCGCCTTCTCCATCTGCGCCTCTAGATCCTCATGCCATAACCACCGGTAGGCTTCTTCGAGCCGTTCTTTCATCGCCTTGGTATCATCGCCCACACCGGGCATACTGAGGCTGTACGCCTGGAAGATTCTGAAGCTTTGCTGGATGCATTTTTGCGTGCGCGGTCTCCGACTGGCGTCGTATGCCTGGAAGGCATGCTCGATTTCACTCACGTCGGCTACAGAGGCAATCAAACTGCTCAACATGTATGCATCTTCCATGGCCATACCCGCACCCGCTCCGATATGAGGGGTTGTCGCATGCGCACTATCACCGAGTAGGCAAACCCGACCCCTGTAGTACGGGCGGTCGTGGGGCATCGCGAAGAGAGCCCATTTGTAAGGGGAGCGGTGTTCGGCAAAAATCTTCAACAGGGGAGGATACCATCCCTTGAAGTCGTCGAGGAATTCCTCAGTCGTCGCCGGTACCGTCCAGTCGTCGCGATCCCAGGTCAAAGAGGTGCTCTGATCGCGCGGGCTAGCCACCATGTTCACGTACTCACCGCCCTCGACTGGGTAGGTCACAAAGTAACCCCCATAACCGCAGTACAAGTGGCCGTGGCCCGGGAGGTCCGGCCCAAGGGCTGCCTCAAATTTGGCCTCAATTGGTCCACTGTTGGCCATCCTTATAC